AAGGGGTCGATCTGCCACCCGATCTTTGGTATACCACACGTGCCAAACGTGTCCTGAAGACGTCGGTGACCCCATGTCATCTGATCCACAATGGACTGGTAGTGTGCGGCCGCCTCATCATTCATACTCCAGCCACCGTTTATAAATTCCAACTGACCTAGGTGTGCACATTATCTGGATTGTTAACCTTGCTTACATATACATGTAAATTATGTCAAATTGATTGTTAAACTTGTTTCAAAAACTGATTAGCTGCAAAATACATTAATCCATTCATAAGTGTCTCATTCCTGTCTAATCTCATTAATTTATCCCAAATTCTTTCCATTTATATAATCGTTACTAAACTTTGAGACATTGATTTGATTGTGTTTTATTGAATAATCACTTATTTTTCAAGTGTTTATGATTTGAACTCTCAATTGTCTCAAACAAACCGATGTGAAGGCTATTTGAGTGGAATGTTCTGAAATGAGATCAACTGATAAAAGGATTAAGTGTTCAATCAGTTGTCAATTTCCTATCGATTTATACATGTTTGTAGTTGTTGACATATTTTGGAAATTTTTTACTTTCAGTCTTGATTAAATTATTTAAAAGTAAATATTATCAAATAATATCATATTACTCTCGTTTAAAACAGCACAAATATTTTAGATACAGCTAATTTTTAAAAATATTTATCATAAAATATATTTTAATCTATAAGTTTTAGTATTGTTTAATGTTTGAAGAAAATGATCGAGTAAAGGATAGTGTAGTAAATTATTTGCTCATTAATTCATTAAAATTAAAAACCAATTTTGTACTTATAATTTAGATTATATGATACATAATCAATACAATAGAAATTAATTAGATTCAACCATAAAATTCATTAGCTAATATAATACTGTATGTTCAATAGTTTTTGCAATTTATGTTTTAAAGTTTTTTGAATATTAATTAAAATTAAGAATATCTTATAAATCAAATGACACATACCATCGTTGACCAACTTCTTGACCTTCTCCTGAAGCTCGGGTGTCTGTAATACCCACCACTTCCAGAAGAATGCCGTCTCGACGTATATGAACTTTCGGGTCTCGTTCTGCAGCAGCGACTGCACCACGGAATCGATGATATACTGAACGCCTGCCTTTTGAATGTTAGTTCGCGAGCCATAGAAGTATTGGTCGACAGTCTTGAGCCATCCGACGTCATCGTGAGTGTGTGGCACCAGATGTACGTTCAACATCTTGGGGTCCACTTG